GCCAGACTGTATTCAGCATTTTACAATTTTTGAAAGAATTTTTTTAAGATGCCCCCAAAATCAGAATAAAAGCCAGACTATAACTCTGAGAGCTATGTTCCCTACTCTTTGCGATAAGTATACTGCTAACCAATACAGAGGAGATGCACGGGACGGGTCCCACGATTTTTCGTCCTTACCCGTGAAGATTAGAATGTCTAACCATTTGCAAATGTCATAACAAAGGCAGTACATTCTCCCTCGACCTACCCCGTGGCAGTCCGGCACCCTACAACATGAGCTAACCAGGCGGCGGTAGCACAGGTTTTCCGAACAACAGTCGAACCTTCTGGGAAATTTATTATTATTACCTGCAAGTGAATTGAAATGTGAAGCGTGCTATCAGACGGGCAGCCACCATAGCTAAATGACTAAAGGTGGTAAGTTTCTAAAGAAATTATGGTGCTGCGTTGGTGGGAGTAACAAAGGTGATTAAGGTTTTATCAACTGAGTTCATAATGTAAATTGGCCACGGTAAAGAGTTTCAAAACTGACATTTCGAGGGTTAGCCATTCGTCAGAGCGTTAGCCCATCTTCATTCGCTCCGGCGAAGGGCTAACGCTCGAAATAGCTTTTAACCTCTTCACGGTGGCCAATTAACAATTATTCGCCTCAGGTTCGGTGAATATCGTCGACTAGTCCCCGAGACGAAGTCGAGGGGATTATTCGACAATATTCACCGAACTGAGGCGAATAAATGTTTAAACACGAAGGCGCGCTATAAAAGGTGCCTTAGGTCCCACGGGACCATTTGTCAGTCAACCGTCGTGTGATGTAGAACTCTTAGAGTCAAGTCAGCTTGAGCTACAGCTACTCCAAAGCAATGTACAGCGGGCGTATCCCTCAAAATTGTTTTATGTCTTCATCGCCATACAAGAATTTTTGAGATTTGTATTTCCTTTCTCCAGTGGAAACTGTCTTTATTTGTGGCGCTAAATTTGAGATCGAAGTAGGTGGTTCGCACGTTACCTCATGCCACCATGCTGGTGGAAGTAACAATAGATATCTCATTAGCTCCTTTTGTTCGTCTATGAGCATTTAAATTTGACCCGCACACGTCAACGGTGAGTGACAAATGAGCCTAGGTCTTCCCAGGAATCCGAGCACTGGGCTAATTCTATAGAATAAGCTATCTCCAAAAATTAACCGCCAGCATAATTTGTTTCGAGTTTCCAAATGGGAGACAACGGCCAGAAACAATTTCACTAGCATGTTCTCATGCCAGATGAAGGATATCGCATTTACCCTCATTTAAATATTCCTTGCAGAGCGCTGAAAAGCACGTTTAAAAATGGCTCATCGCTAAAAGCGGACTTCGACTTTTCAGAGTGACTTTAATTTCACGAACAGTTCAAAATTTTTGTTGTTCTTTAACACCTGCCAAATACTCTCCAGTTCAATAGGTGTTGCCGCTAGACCTCTCAAATGTAAATCTCTTTGTTTTACATCTAATTTGTTTTCTTCCATTTTTCATTTTTCGTGTGGTTTATTTGTGATGAAATCAATGGAAAGAGTTGGTATATTTCATTAGCTATAATAATTACTTTGTATTCGTTATGGTTATATTGTTGCAAAATGTTTTGAAATTGCTGTTACCTAATATATTTTTTCGAAAACATGAACTCTCGCCAATTAAAAATATTTAGACATATTTGAGAGCCTTCGCCTTTAACATAAATATGTTAGCTTTGTTTTCCTTCGTTGTCTTTCTTCTGTTACCGTCACTGTATCATGAATACAAATGCAAATTTTCGTCACCCCCCCATTTGCTATTAGCTATGAATGGTGCGGTAGCTGTGTGGTTCCTACAATTAACTGATTGTGACTTGGGTTGCACTTCTGGAGAATGCCGAACCAACGAGGCTTTAAAGGAGAACAGTTTGGGGAGAGAATAAGTTCCTGAATAAATTTGGCTCGAACTGAACCAGGGTCACTTCGATAATAAAAAAGTATTTGAAATGGCCGGATAGGTCAAACATGATACCAAAGAGGTTGATCAATAATTCATGATAAAGTATCCATTTTTTTTTTCGTATTTTTTTTTTTTAGTAACATGAAACACAAACAAGGCTGCAGTCCAATATCTGAAAACGCACGACATCTTTTCGTGTGGTCTACCACGAACAGTGTGTGCTTTTGTTTGTAGTTTGAGCGTATGAGGAGATATTTACCCTTGAATCACGGGGCATCTTTCTGGCCGCCGTGATAAGCATGTGCTTTGAAGCTTACCTGGGTATATACTTCATGATTGAATGCAGTATAGTTGTTTTCTTACTTCGCAACTGAAAAAAAACCATACTCAGCGCATGTGCTTTACTTACTAGACTGCGTTTTTCGTCTCAAGACGGAAAATAACCAAGCCCAATTTATAACTCGGGCATTCCATAGGAAGCCCGAGTAATTAGTTAAGACAAAAGCAAGTTCTTAGCTTTCTGTAATAAAACAGTGAGGTTGAATCTTCCAGATATAATTATAAACGAGTGTACTGAGGGAATATCCAACTACATACATACATACATACCTCACCTTTATTTCACCTCGGATTTACAAGAGTAGCTGTCTAGCAGAGGATCTCAAAAAATGCACATGTAAACCTGGATATTCTGGAAATGGGAAAACGTGCCATGGTAAAGTCTCTGCTCTCCTCGAAAAAATATTCAAAAAGAATAAATAGGTTGTAAATATTCCATTCCATAAAATTCATCTTGTTTACACCAAGCGCGATGACCGAAATCAGAAAATGTATACTCCGACCTTTTGACAGAAGGGAGGCAGCTGAGCGAGGTCTATACCGAAGAGACTGGCAGTATTGATATTTGCATCTTTGTTGACGCGATTATAACTAGATTTGATCGGTGCTTCTACCCCATTTCGGTCTTTTTTTCCCACTCTTGACTCTCTTTTTAAGCATTAAAGGCGAGTAAGGGACCAGTTATTATTGCGCTTGTAATAACTGATTGAGGGTGGGAGTTTGGAAAAATGTGGGAGGAGCTCACATGCCTTTTAGGGGAAAAAAGAGGGTGGATCAGTCGTCACCAAAAACTGACTGCCAATTAATTTGGTTTTATCAGCTAAGTTGAAATTATAAATTGGCCACCGAATAGCCACTCGCCCTGACGAAGGGCTAACGCTCGAAACGTCAGCTTTTTAACTCTTTACGGCAGCAAATTTACAATTTCAAATGAGTTGATAAAATCGTATTACCTTGTTACCCCCACCGACGCAACACCACAGTTTCTTTAATAGCTTACCCCCTTTATTCATTGACCGCCAATTAACTGCCAATGAGGGGAGATCATAAGAAAATTACAGAGCCCTACTGGGGGATCAGGTAAATATGCCGCGAGGTGAGACTCACTTTTTGCTAAATTCGAAATGAATATTTTGTTATTGTATATTTGCACTTGTCACGNTTGTGATCAGACTAGACGCATAACTACGTTAACTTGGGCTTCTTTGCTTAGGAATGTTTACAAAGGCAAGTAATCTGACGAAGGGTGTTGTTTAATTTAATTTCTGCTTGTTATCCGAAAACGTACGACATCTTTTCGCGTGGTCTACCACGAACAGTGTGTGCTTTTGTTTGTAGTTTGAGCGTATGAGGAGATATTTACCCTTGAATCACGGGGCATCTTTCTGGTCGCCGTGATAAGCATGTGCTTTGAAGCTTACCTGGGTATATACTTCATGATTGAATGCAGTATAGTTGTTTTCTTACTTCGCATCTGAAAAAAAAAGCATACTCAGCGCGTGTGCTTTACTTACTAGACTGCGTTTTTCGTCTCGAGACGGAAAATAACCAAGCCCAATTTATAACTCGGGCATTCCACAAGAAGCCTGAGTAATTATTTAAGACAAAAGCAAGTTCTTAGCTTTCTGTAATAAAACAGTGAGGTTGAATCTTCCACATATTATAAACGAGTGTACTGAGGGAGTATCCAACTACATACATACATACATACATACATACATACATACCTCACCTCTATTTCACCTCGGATTTACAAGAGTAGCTGTCTAGCAGAGGATCTCAAAAAATGCACATGTAAACCTGGATATTCTGGAAATGGGAAAACGTGCCATGGTAAAGTCTCTGCTCTCCTCGAAAAAATACTTAAAAAGAATAAATAGGTTGTAAATATTCCATTCCATAAAATTCATCTTGTTTACACCAAGCGCGATGACCGAAATCAGAAAATGTATATTCCGACCTTTTGACAGAAGGGAGCCAGCTGAGCGAGGTCTATACCGAAGAGACTGGCATTATTGATATTTTCATCTTTGTTGAAGCGATTATAACTAAATTTGATCGGTGCCTCTACCCCATTTCGGCCTTTTTTTCCCACTCTTGACTCTCTTTTTCAGCATTAAAGGCGAGTAAGGGACCAGTTATTATTGCGCTTGTAATAACTGATTGAGGGTGGGAGTTTGGAAAAATGTGGGAGGAGCTCACATCCCTTTTAGGGGAAAAAAGAGGGTGGATCAGTCGTCACCAACAATATGTCAAAAGGGGGGGTATAGAAAACTGACTGCCAATTAATTTGGTTTTATCAGCTAAGTTGAAATTGTAAATTGGCCATCGAATAGCCATTCGCCCTGACGAAGGGCTAACGCTCGAAACGTCAGCTTTTTAACTCTTTACGGCAGCAAATTTACAATTTCAAATTAGTTGATAAAATCGTATTACCTTGTTACCCCCACCGACGCAACACCACAGTTTCTTTAGT